TAGGCTTCACGTCACATATAAAAAAATATATATTTTACCGATAGAACTTAATAACTATATAACAGTCACTTTTTTATATAGGAAAAATAATGAAAGATATTAAAAAATGAAATCTAAAGATTGAATAATAAATATCTATGTATGTATTTTCACCTGAATCATTACAAAGTAAAATATTAATATTGAAAATTCATTAAATATATGTAGGTAATCATCGATTCATTATTACTTTATAAACACTTCGCTTATATGAAACAAATACACCTGTTGGTTGTGGTACATTGTCCACGTCGATGGCCTTCTGAAACACATTTTCTTACACATGCGCTAACTCCACCTGACTTGCAAACAGAAAGATATAGTTCCGTGTCTTCAACTAACTGATGCGAAGAATTTCCTAGAAATAAGATCAAATGTTTAAGTTTTGATTTTTTCGTGTTTTTATTTCGTTTTTTTTTGATATGTTTTCAAAGTATACTTATTTGAAAATATGTTGGTAAAATTTTAAGTTAAAATTCTGAAAATTGATTGTGAATTACAGTTCACTTTAGTTAGACCAAATAACAAGATTGATTAGACAATAAATAAAATGTTAGGGATATACAACTAGTAACTGTTAACTCATATTAAAAATTTATAATAAAAAAATGGAATAAATCCGAATTAAAGAAAATTATTATAAAAAATAATGCAAGAGAAATTATAGTCGTTAAAAAATTATAAGTTTAAATCGAAGTATAGGTGTAATGTCAAAGTATAAATACAAAATATTATTATTTTAAAATAAATTTATTATAACATGTTGAAAAATAAGAAAATAAACAATAGTTCCAAATAATTGTAATTCCAATAGTAAGAAAAAGAAAAAGAAAAGAAATTACATTAAAAAGAGACACAGTTTTTTAAATCAGACAAAAATTTGTATCATTTTTATATATTATTTTACCTACATATTTAAACTTATTCTTTGCAATAATCTAACCTAGGCAAACACATTTATCATCTCCTTCCCAGACTCCAGCTGCTTTTCCTTTACTCCAACAGGCTGCATTACAAAGCCATTTTGAGCTTCCTCCAACTTTGTGTTCCTTAAGATCGGAAAATGAGTCGTCCGAAGGTTCTGCAAATATATGAATTATTTCATTTATTTTAAATATATATATATATATATAATTAATATAATATTTTAAATTAAAATTGAATAAACCTTCTAGCTGTACAGCCATAACGGCCATCATTGCGACGAAGAGAAAAGCGGCAAGAAGAAAGAATTTCATTTTCAGTGATTGTTGTTTCTTTAACTTCAGCTTTCAAATAAGAACTATTAACAATAACGTCGAAATGAATGTTTATATAGTCATAAGGAGTATATTATCGAAATTTTGATATCATAATTATCTAATATCTAAAGATAATCTTAGAGAAAATAAATGATTACTGTATTATTTTTACATTGAAGTTTCAATGATAAACTCTCGGCGATTTGTTCAATTAGAATAAATTAACCACTTAAAACGAATTAGAGACTTAAGTTTAATTGAAGATTAAATTAAAGTAGAGGTTAAAATTGAAATAAAAAATAAATATATAAACACTTTATATTTAGGAAGAATATATTTTTATTTATTAACCAAAATTAAATATACACAACATTAATTATTTCCAATGAATTGTACGTTTTGCTTGATAATTGTCGTGTGCAAAAAAAAATAACCTGTTGAATTTTCGTTCAAACAATAGATCCAAAAAAATTGTAATTCCTTAAATAAGAAAGAAAGAAAGAAAAATAATTACATTAATAAGAGAAACAATTGAATTGTTTTATTTGCTATTTATATTAATATAAGAGAAAACCGACAAGAAGATAAAAGTTCATTTTTTGCGATTGTGTTTTTTTAGCTTCAGCTTTCAAACTATAATTTTATCGTTGTAATGTGTCTTTATATAGTCATACGATGTATGTTATCAAAATTTGGATAGCATACTTATCTGATATCCAAAATTAATGGACAAGTACCTAAGCGAAAATGGATTTGTGTTTTTATTTAAATGTACAAAAGTATGTTATTGTTGATCTAATATCAATATGTATCAGATCTAGTAATAATTAATATCGTTTTTTAAAACATAGTTAAAACTAATTTATTTCATTTGAAAACTACTTTCTAAACTTTTGGACTTTACCAAGTGAACACAATTTATTGGAAATATCGCTACTATCATTTTCTGACGCCAACAGCATCTTGACCCAGAGAATTACAGATATTTTTTGCAGCTTCATTTATTTATCTTCCCAACTGGAACTCGTGAAGCATGCAATGCCAAATATGCTTTTCATCTGCCATCTTTTTAACCCTAATTTCGCAAAATAAAACACTTCAAACTCAAACTTTTTGCAGCAAAAGCTTGTTAATTACATTTCACACTTTCTATATGTACATCATGTTTGTAGGTTATGTTGATGAAGTTAGTGTCAAGCAGAATATTAAACGAATATTTAAAAAATGACATTAATAATTACTAGACCGTATAGTTTTATATAAATTGTCAACAACAAAAAATTAGACACCTTAAGCAAACACGAACTCTCAAAGGATCTTTAAATTTACAGGAATTTTTTACACACAAGGGTCATAAGAGTTGGAGTAAATAAAATCCTCTCACATCTCACAAACATCAAATATGAAGTATCTCCAAGCTTTATATTCAGCGTATATTTATTTCTCATTTTTATAAACGGTATACTGAAGAACATCCAACATCCCAATCAAAGAACTTCTATTTGTAAACGACCTTACCATAATATGTTAAAGAAAAGCGTCTTAATTCGACTCAAAAGCATTTACTAGCAGAAACTCTCAATAAATTATAAAATGATAACAAAAATTCGAATTTCAAATCTCTAATCAATAATCAGTAGTTATTAACTTCATCAAAAGCCAACCTTTCTCTATGCATCAAATTGAATCATATGAATTAAAACAGACTACTTGCACCAAATTACTAGAATTCACCTGCGATACTAAACTCACGTGGAGACCACATATAAATAAGCTCATTGGTGATTCCAATTTACGCCTGGATATACTAAAAACAATAACTAGGGTACAAATCACAAAACCCTTCTCTTAAAAAAGATAAAAATATGTGAAATTATAAGATGTATCTTATCTTTTCTTACATGATAACTCTTATTGAGTGTTTTTATATGTAAAAACATTGAGTATGTAATAATAATATTATAAATAATATGTTGTAACTGTGTTGATAAAAAAATGAACATTGATATCGAGAAAGTCTAATTGTAAAAGAATTTATTTATTTCCAAGGGTTTACATAAATGTAACATTTAGTAAGATTTAAAGGGATAATTTTTAAGAGAATAATCTAATTTGTTGTTAACTTCTTCCAAATTCACTTTTTAATATTCCTTTGTGTTTGATATAATTATTATTAAAAATATATAGAATTACATTAAATTTACATTATAATACATAGAGTAATTTATTGTCGAAAGTAATATAGGAAAGTTATTTTTTTTTTCTTATTATATCAGTTACAAATGCAGACATCATTCTTGTTACAGTGTCCACCTCTCAAACGTCCTTGAGCAGCACAGCTTGCGGAGCATGCAATGTTACCACCAACCTGGCACGACCAATACACTTCTGGTTGATCCACAACAGTATCTTCAGCTTGTGAATCTAAAAACAGTCATATTTTATGCAAGATTTGTAAAAATGTAACACACTCGAACTAAACCAAAACTGTACACACTCGAAATAATTCAAGTGGTGTTGTATTTTATACTGCTATAAAAATTTTGATTAATATTGTTTTTTTTTTATTCTTTTTTTTTGCCAAGACAATGTTCTAAAGTGTGTTTTTTTATATAAAAAAAAAATTGACTTTTTTTTGCCGGTTTTTTTTTCAAAAAATTAGTGCGTTATGGGGTTAAGCATCTCTGCAGGACTTAAAATATATTTAAAATTATTTTATTTAATATATTTGAATAATTTCTATAACTTTGTCGCGTTACTTACCATCGATTGCCATGGCGTTAATTGTTACAATGCCGATGAAAAGAAAAGCAAAGAAGAATTGGAATTTGGCCATTTTGAAAATCTTCGATTTTCTATTAACTTTAATAGAATTGTTTTTTTTTTTATAAGATTTTTTAACTTCTTCAGTCGAACTACGGTTTCTTATTAAAGCAAAAAAGCTAATTGGATTAATATATATATGAWCGAATAACGGTCAAAGATAACATATCACATAGTTCAAGTATTATTTTATCAAAAAGGTAGAATCATTTCATCCTTTAAAATCATTATCGTTTCTTTATTTTGTATTAAATTGCGTATTATAACACGTAAATATGTCTTATCGAAAACTTTTAAAAGTCCAATTACAAACTAAAATATTGATATTGACAATTTATCAGATATAAGTAGTCATCAAGTAATTATTATCTTATAGACACTTAAGTTTAACAGAACATATACGCGTGTTGTTTTCGGTGCCATGTTTAAATTGTTTACCTTGTGAATGTATCCAATCTCCATCTGTCTTGCAAGAAAAAAATGCTTCCAACTCTTTAACTAACTGATACAAATAATTGATGGATTCCTATCTAATAGATATTAGATAAAGATAGATCTAGATAGAGATAATCGACAATTACGTATGTGATAACGATATTTCGTTTACATTAAAATAAACAAAAGTATGTTGAAATTATTTTTATAATATAATTGTGTGATTTAAATATAAATTATTCGCAAAGAGAAACTCTTACAAATATTGAAGAAACAATACCCCATGAATTCATTTCTCAAGTGCTTTCTCACATATATTTGTTTTCATAAGGCTTATTCGAATTTTGCAGTTTAAAATGAAGATAGGAAAAAGATAATAAATGTGAAGTAAAAATAATCGTAACAATAAAAATAATCTTTTAATATTTTTAATTTCAAATAAATATAATACAATATTATTATTTCAACTATCTTTAGATGTGTATAAAATGAAATGATATTAGATCACTAATTTGTAATATCAATTTGTTCGACTTTTTGTTGTTCGTCACTTATTGTCTAGAAATTAAATCGTTTTCTTAAAAGATCCAACATTTGTTCTCTGAAAATGAAAAACAACAGATTGAATAATAATATTGAGTTTTTCGGAAAGTGATTTTGTATTTTTTTGTGAAAATGAAGACAATTTTTGCTTCCAGATTAAACCTAGGCCCTTCAAGTTGGCTTAAATAGTTGAATTTGATAAATTTAACCTCTCACCGATCTTACGTTTTGATATTTGCTGATTAGCATCAACTAATGACTTTATTGTGTCAGGAAAAAACGAAATTACTTTCTGAACAACCCAATAATTTGTTTTTATACTTTCTACGATATCTTTCCTCCGTTAATGTCAACAACAATTAACTGTATCCAAACATACATCTATCTTTGATAGAGGACAATATTGAACAAACGATTACTCACTCTCGACAATGACAGATCTCATTTATGCAATGACCACCTGCTCTTCCTCTTGCGATACAACCTGCGGCACAAGCACTGTCACTAACCCAGTCACCAATAATAGGAATTCGGCAAGTAGCTCTTCTGTATCTCGTGTGCTCAATCGTCTCTAATTCTTCTGGTAATTTTTCATTCATAATAAAACTATAGCTCGAACCTTTTTTCTCTATAATAAAATGTTTTTCTTTTTATTTATAAATATATACGAATGATAATTAAAAATGATCAAAATAAAATATACAAATATAAACCTTCTAACGGTGCTGCCATTATTGAACAACCAAAAAGTACCACCAGCAAAGCAAAAAGCAACGTGTTGATCTGGATCATCTTGATCATCTCAATTCAGGGTACTTTAACAAAGCAATTTTACAGTTAAGACTACGGAGGAAGAACTGTTTTTAACACCGCGAACCACTGCGTTATATATCCTACAAACACAATTAAAAAATGTTTCATATATATATCTCTTTGAGAAAAAGCTATGACATATTATTAGGATGATTTCATTGAAAATCTTATACTAACAATAAGATAAAATGTTGATTTTAAATATAAATATTTCAAAGAATGTCATATCTTTTTTTATTTATTACTTTTATCTTTCTTTCTCTTTTATTTGGTTTTCCTTGGTATTAAAAGGAAAATACGTTAGATAAAGTCGGGGAAATCTTGGGAAATAACGTAGAATATTGAAATTGAAATCTCATGAACGTAATAATCGTTTCAATTATAGGTCGTGAACTTTATACACATAATGTGGTTTTAATTTTATCGTAAGACCTTTATTTAAAACAATAAATATTTCTAATATTTTAGTTTCAAATATTTAATCTTTCGTAATAAAGTACGTAAAGTTTTATTCTATGATATACTTTTATATACATATTAATTTTATATTATATTTTATATTATATTTTATATTATATATATATTTTTATTTTATTTATTTATTAATTATATATATTTTTATATTAATTTTATATTATATTTTATTCTATAATATACTTTTTATATTAAACTTTTTAATATTCTTTTTTTTTTTTTATTTTTTCGTTTATTATTTGCCATAAAGTTTCAGTTATAGATAAAGTCAAAGAATTCAACTCAATCAATAGAATAAATGTAGTGGAATTATTTTGACCGTGTATTAAGTGACTTGGACAAATGATCGGTCGTCCGTTTAATTCGTAATAATAACTCTATAATCGATTAATTGCTTATCACATATTTGCACTACAGTATGCGAATTCAAAATGAATTAAAAACAATACGCATCTTTTGATCTCGCAAATTGTTGTATATATACAATACATATGTATGTATGTATAAATATAATTGTTTTTTTGTCTATATTATTTATCGAAAATATACATTATTAATATTGCGTATGTATACGTCTGATAGCTATCGATTAAAGTCAACGACGATAGTACTATTAATAGTTGTTTAATAAATTCAAGTAAATTCGAATATTCTCGAAATATATTATGTTACGCTTTTCCGTCATTAATAAATAATTATTTGAACGATATTTATTTATTAAATATGTTAAAATAGATTCTCTCATAGATTATAAATTTATTTATTATGGCTATTATAATTATTCTTAATATTTAATTGATATCACAAGCACTATTTCCGGTAGATCCATTGATAAGATGTTATCATGCAAGTTCAAGATCTCCAAAGTTTATCAGTATGTCCTTTCATGTCAGTTACTTCCCATTCTTGATACGTTGGAATTGTATAAACTACTGACAGCAGCATATCAAAATCATACGATAGAAAAATAAGATAAATATGACCCATTAATCAATTCATTTCATATATTCAATATAACAATTTTATTATAATAATTCATTTCATTAGAGAAAACTAGGAAACATTAAGTAATTAATTACAAATTATTTAATTAATTCAGACATTTTCTATTAATCGACAAATTACTCTACATAATTTTTATAAACATTTTACTCTTACCACTTTCAGAACAAATGATTTAAGTGCACTTAATAAATGAATAGATAATAACATGATTTCGATAATATGAAACATTCGTAAAATCGATGTAGGTATAATAAATGATTTTCGAACGATTATCGATTGATTTTTGATTAGATATATTATATAATTAACACGTATTATTAATAAGTTAAAATCGTCGGTATATATCTCGTAAAATTTCACAAGTTATTAAGCTTCAATAAAAATCGATAAACAGGAAAAGAAATGATACGTGTATAAACGGTAATTAAATTTTATTTGTCAATAAAGTATTTAATTTATTCCATAACGATGAATCATTTATTGTGTAAATTCAAAGTAAAAAATATTTATTAATAATAACATTATAAATTTTATGTTTTCTAATATGAAAAATTAGCAGATCATTTCACTTCAACTAAACTATCCAATTTTACTAACCCTTTGACTGCTAACTACTCTAAGTCGAAGCGCTTAGCGTGTGCGGCGTGTGGCCAACAGTAGAGGTCTCTGGAGACTGAATACTTTTTCGGGCAATATGGATCTTGTGAGCGGCGTATTAATAATTTGTAATATAACTCATAATCCAATTACTATTAGTTTGTCCACTACAAAACGAATCAAATAATTATTTTTGTATTTTTTTTTATTTTTAACATATATTGTTTATTCACTAATAGTAAAGTTTTAAAACACCATATTTTGATAGTTATAAATTATAACTATACATTTTTCGAAATTGAAAAATTGAACAAATAACAAGTAAGTAACATAAGTACTGTAAATCTAAACAAAATAAAACGAATTTAAGACAGAGAATGACTGACCAAATTAACGAAATTTCATTTTTTTCGTTGCTAATCAACGAGGTTTAAGATTTCTGCAAGTGTGTTGGATATGTAAAAGAGAAACCATTTCCGAGCATACATATAAGACAGCAGTAAACAGCCAAAAATTCGCCGAGCGCGCATTTGCGTCCATAGTCTCTTTCGATGGCTTGCGTCGGACGCATATTTGAGCCCATAGCAGTCAAAGGTCTAAATGATAAGCAAACCAAAATATGAATTAAGGATAAATATTATCCATCAAGATCATTTATAATGTTTAAATTTTAATCTATAAAACAAAAAAATATAATTTACGTTTTACAGAGGACAAATAACGTAAGAACTGTTATCATTGTATTTGTATCCTATCATTTTACAATGAGTGACTCAAGCAGTGTCTCCTACAGGTTTTTTAATTACTATAATTAATTCTATAAATTAATTACAATCAATTATTGATTAATTTTTCAACGCAAATGAATAAATATAATCTAAAAATATGCTTCAGCTTCATAATCGTAACGATAATGCATAAAATGGTTTTCATTACTGTTGAATCCCGGTAATATAGAAAACTGCATTATCTGTTAAGAAAAATAACAGTTGAGCGCTGACTTACCGACTATTCTGTCGATAATAAAATTTTTATTTTTATATTATTTTTACAAGTTGATACATAGGTTATAAAAAAATTTTGCAGATATATAGTTCTTATTTTCTCAATTGATAAGAACATTATTATTTTTTAACACCAACGCCATCATGTGATTTTAAACTGTCTTCTATACATTTTTAATAAAGCTGTTCGTTCATTGGTTAATAAGTAGCCAATTATATCAAGCAACGTGCCCGTCTACGAATATATTTTTCTAACAGATGGGTGTACGAATCTCTACTGTCAAATGAAAGTGTTGTGACAATTAAGGATAAGCAAAGTTAAAATAAGTACAAATTAATAAGAAAACAAAAGACATTTCATTTTTTATGGAAATTTGTGCTCATTAATTCCCATTAAAAACTGAATATCGATTACTCGAAATATATACTATTCGAGTTTGATACACTGCAAGTTCGTGACAGTTGACGCACAGCAGATCACTGATGGTTGTTCAAAAGTTGTTGTTTGATTAATTACTTTTTTGAAAGATCACAAAATGCTGGTCTTCTGTGATATTTTTGATTTTAAAGTGCTTATATTTGCTTGTCTGTTGGTAAGTTTTTATACAACAAAATCTAACATTATATTTTCTTTTTTAAAAATTCTTTTTTCACGTCTTTTTCAATTTCTAAGCGGTACTTGACACGTACTTAAGTTCCGTGGTGATTTTGTAATAATTTAGAAATTAATCAATTTCTAAATGTCTTATTATAAATAACAATATATTTGTTATTTTAATTTTCATATAAAATTTTCTTTCATTATTTTTCATCTATAAATGTTTTTTAAATAAATAACCTCAAAATATGTGACAAGTTGATGTTTAAACAGCTTTTTGTCCACAATATGTATACTTACATATATATTACTATATACAGTACAATATACTTATTTCATGAGACATTTTCATAAAATTTATTTATGCAAATATTGTCAGAATTTTAAATTTAAAAATTTCAAATATAGTAAAAGATTTAAATTCCTTATTTGATCATTAATAATTAAATTATTTTGTTGATTTGTGATCATGTTAGAAGAAAATTTGTCAATTATTGTAAATCAATTTACTTTTTTAGATATTCTTACCTAAAAGTTTAGGAAACCAAGGTGCTGTTCCACTTACTCAAAAAAATATTGATCATACATTAGGTGAGTTAAAATAAAAATATAAAAAAATGTATGAGTTATCATTTTATTATTGTTATATCAAAAATAAATATATTTCTTTTTCTTTTTTTTTAGCAAGCAATGAACTCGTATTTATAAACTTTTATGCAGAATGGTGTCGTTTTAGTAATTTATTGGCACCAATATTTGAAGAAGCATCTCAAAAAGTACACGCAGCTTTTCCACAACCTGGAACTGTGGTAATGGGTAAAGTAGACTGTGACAAAGAAGGTTAGTTTTCTAAAATAAAAATGAAAATGTTTATATACTGGATTATTCAAAAAGTATTTTCTTATCTATATCTACCATTCTGTTCAATTATTTTTTCCCATGTTTTTGGCAGTTGCAAGATTTCATACATTTGATTATTTTTAATTTTAGGATCTGTAGCTTCAAGGTTTCACATTTCTAAATATCCAACATTAAAGGTTATTAGAAACGGACAGCCAACTAAAAGAGAATACAGAGGACAACGCTCTGTTGAAGCTTTTGAACAATTCATCAAAAAACAATTACAAGATCCTATTAAAGAATTCTATGATTTGAAAGAATTAAATAATCTTGATGATAAGAAGAGAATGATTATTGGATATTTTGATAATAGAGATGGTCTGGAATATCAAATGTTCAGAAGGGTAGCAGCAAATTTGAAGGATGATTGTCAATTTCACGTTGGATTTGGGTAAGACATCAATATCAATTAAATTATTTATATAAGATATATAAAATGTAGTTACGTCTTATATTATCTGACAAATTTGATGTATTTAAAAAGAAACAAGTAAAAATTAGTCATAGATTACAATGATATTATAAATATATGCTTACTTTGTAATTGATGCCGTAACAATATTAATTTTATTTAACAAGCACTTGCTCCAATGAAAATTGTGAAATAGGACAGCATTTTCACTTGGTGTAAGTAAAGATGTAATAAGTAGTTATATCTCAATATTAGAATTGTATAATGTTATCTTTAATATGCTTGCTATGTATCTGATATAGACTTGTATTATTTTGTTTATCACAAATTTAATTTATTACAGCCAATTTAAATAGAAATATTATCATAATCATTACTTTTTCTATAAGTATTATTTTGTATTATATTTTAATTATTTAAATTTCATCATAGTCCTGTTACTGAAGTTATATATAATTAATAGGGATGCGAGTAAGGCCATGCATCCACCTGGTCAACCAATTGTTGTCTTCCGATCGGATAAAGCATTATCTAATGATGAGGATGAAACTTATAAGGGGAGTTTGAAAAACTTTGACGAATTAAATATTTGGGCTCAAGAAAAATGTGTCCCGCTTGTGAGAGAAATTACATTCGAAAATGCAGAGGAATTAACCGAAGAAGGTTTACCTTTCCTTATATTATTCCATTCACCTGAAGATACTGAGAGTGTCAAAAAATACAAAGATGTTGTAACTAGAACTTTGATAGATGAGAAGCGTAAGTTTAATTATGTTTATTATATTACTGCATTATTTTATATTGTATTTAAATTATTTTGTTATACTTTTAGAAAACATTAATTTCCTTACTGCTGATGGTTTGAAGTTTGCACATCCTCTTCATCATTTGGGGAAAAGTTCAGCCGATTTACCGTTAATCGCGATCGATAGTTTTCGTCACATGTACCTGTTTCCTAGCTTCCAAGATATCAATATAGAGGGAAAACTGAAAGCTTTTATTCATGAGTTATATTCTGGAAAACTTCATCGAGAATTTCATCATGGACCTGATTTGCCTGGTTTTGAAACACCACAAATTACAGGACACGTTAAAGTGCCTACAACTCCACCTGAATCAACGTTTAAAAATCTTGCGCCGAGTAAAAATAGATACACTTTGCTTAGGGATGAATTATAATAGTGTTCTTATTATGGTGATACAACAAAATGAAATGAAACTTACAGAATGAAATAACAAAGTATAGTCTCATCAACAGCAAATTAATTCAAATTATTAAACAGAAAAAGAAGCTTCGTAATAATACATACAAGCGAGTAGTGATCATCTGTAGTCTATTTATACTCTTGGTCTATATCGCGTTGATAAGTCTCAGTTATAAAAGTGTGTTAGGAGAATTTTTATTACTATTATGTCTAATAGCATTTTAATTTTTTTTCGTATTAACAAATTTTATTGAAAATATATAAATTTATATATTTAATATTAAATTAAACGAAAAAAAAAAAAACATTAAAATCGTAAATGTATAAAGCCTTATTTCAGAAATATAATAATCAGATACTAATAATCATTAGTAATGGAAAAAAAAAAACTATACAAATTTAAATATAAGATAATAGTCGCTTTCATTCTATATTTTTACATAAATTTTTATTACTTTCTTACTAAAGCTAATGAAATATCTTTACTACAATTTATGAAAAGAAAACTCAAAGATTGTACATCTCCCACTGTCAATATTTACATATTAGATTTTATACTACAATTTAGAATGCAGAAGAGAGATAAATGAGAGATCATGTGAAATGCAATTTTTTTTTAGAAATATCATTTAATTAAAATATCGTATTCTCACTTTTCATTTTTTATGATTTAATATTTGAGTAAAACAGTAGATAAGCCTTTATACTTATGGCTCGACGAAAATATCCTTTACATGATTTGCGTCTGATATTTATTGCAAGTAATAATAACAATTAGAGGTATTGAAACTCAAAAAGGTATTCCATGGAAATTAGAAATTATATAGAATAAAATAGTCCCAAAAGTAAACAAGCAGGAAGTCAATAAATACGATTAACAAAAGTGACTTGTTAATTGAATGAACGCAAAGTAATAATTCTCAATTGCGTGTGTGTTGCGTGCCTGCATATAGTAATAGTTTTTAGTTCATTAATTCATTTGAGATTACGTTCTCTATGAGAAACATATTACAAAAGATAACTGGATAGAAAGTCTCGTATGTTCGAAAAAAAACGAGGAAGCGTGGTAAATGGTATGAAAATGTTAAGATACTTCTTCAAAGTGTTGTACGGATGATGGTATTATTAATTTACTGTTAATAAAGAGATTCTAAGTCAACCGTTCTGTCGGTTAAACATTTCTTTACATAAATAAAAATCGTATAGGGGTATAAAAAAGAAAGGGAATTGGAATGCATTGATTGGAATATCAGCATCCATTATAAAATGGCTGTATTTAGGGGTAACTCGATTACATGTATTACATTCCATCAGTACACGCCACCACCTTTTATATCGATTAATCTTATAGTACACAACACACATTACACGTAACATGATTGTATACGTTTCTAACATCACACATACTTTACTCTCGCACCATAATTCCCGTCTCCACCGATAATTAAAATTCTTCATTTTCTCCTTTATTTATTTATTTTTTTTTTTCTTCTTTTTATTTTTCTCATGTATTCTTTTTTCTTTTGTCCTTTTTTTTTTTGCTTTATGTATATATATTTTTATCATATCATTTGTAATTGTTTTTTTCTTTTTCTTTTTTATTTTCCACCTAACGACGAAACGTGTGAGTGGAGCAGATTCGAATAGAAACATTCATTCGCAGGTAACGTAGTTCGGAGAAATTGAGGAGGGCATTGTTTTTAAACGAAAATGAACAATTTTTTATTAGGAATTTCCTATATATATATATATTATTTCTGTACGTTGGTGGATCACGAAAACGAATGATCAATAAAATATATTCGGAAACGTTAGATGGCCGATTAGGATAATAGATTATTTTTAAAAGTCTCGTATTCTCTTCTTCTTTGATTTTGTTCACGAACGATAAATTAAAATTGAAACGTACAAAAAGTACACTTTCGATTATCCGAAAGCTATAACTCTTTTCATTTAGACGACGAATTCTCGGAAACAACAATTTTTCTATCGTATCGTATAATTCAATAACCAATATTACCACTCCTTTATTTTTGCGATTCTACCAGGCCATTTAATTAATTAACATAGGAACACGCGCTGTATACTTTTTCGGTTATCTATGTATGCATATTATGTACTGACGTGACGGTATTATGTATTTATGTAATCAGCACATATACAGCTTTTAATTTAATCATCTTATACACGTAAAAGCACGCAACTTGTCAAACGTACATATGTAATGATATTCTTTTATGTGTACGTATGTATATATATATATATACTTATATGTGTAAGATAGAATAATTCACTCGCAATTTGCACAGTTTGTTTTTTATCCCAACAATAGCCTTATCGTAGTGTTTTTTATCTTCACGTGTCCGGCTAATAAGTTTTACATAATTATTTGAATTACGTTTACATGTTCCAATTTTTGTTCTTTTCTTTATTATACTTTTGTACACTTATACCCGTTTCTTCTTTTATTTTATTTTTTAAATAAAAATCAAACAAGATTGAAAAAGAATAAACAGGAGAATAATACTTATTGTAAATAAACGTGAAGATAATAAGTATATTCGTGTCAGTAATTATGACAATGGATTAAGTCACACACAATCAATTAATTAAATAAATTTTATTTTTATTTTATGATGCAAATAATTGTAATATAAATTAAATCAATGAATTGTTTTGACTTTTTAATACAGTGTCATAATTACTGTAACATTATTATATGTGTTGTATTTAACGTGAAATGATAAAAAAAAAAAAAAAAAAATTAGAATCGATATTCTTTGTCCGTGGATAAACAAGATAGGGAAAAGAAACGTGTAAATGCGATAAATTAAAAATTAGTTAAGATAAACGTCACGTCATGGGATCCACGAGGAAATGGCATTTAAACGTCCTAAGTTCGTGGATCGATTGCAAACGCCTCACGAAACGTATACAGCGCGTTAAAGCATATTTCTTACGTCAGATAAACATAAGACTAATAAAAACATATATGTATATATATATGTATATATTATATGTGCGATATTATACATCTTTTTTTTTTTTTTTTTTACGAAGAAAATTCAACGCGTTATTAGCTGTGTCGTACCAAAACTGAGTATAATCATCATTTGTTTATTTCTCTTTCTCTTTTAACATACACATGCACGCACATACAAACATTTTTTTTTTTCTTTATTCGTGTATTCTCCTTACGCCTGTTTTTTTGTTTTGTCTTTTCTATTTTTTTTTTTTTTCTTAAGCGCATCTCTTCTTATTAGCACGTTTCGTCATATAACATAATAATAAGAATTATTTCGATATTTTTATTCTAGAAAAATAATGTTATGAAAATTTTCCCGTCTGGCGGGAATGAGAATCGTTAAAAACTTTATTAGAGCCATTTATTAAGTAAAAATATAAATATTTCATTCACAGTGCGATATCATCATTATCACCATCGTCGTCGTATTTGTCATTGTCATTGTCCACGTCAATAGTAATTGTCATGTCGTCATCGTAAAACAAGCTCGTGCTCGTGTACTTATAAATGATATCCTATATATAGTATACCTAATACATTTCGATTATGATACTTCTTTTATTAACACATAATACTTATATATCATGTCTTACATTATCGCAGTTTTCTTAAACCTTAAAGATCCGACAAAGAATAATAACAATATTTATAATAATAAATATGACTAAATAATAATAATAATAATAATTATAATAATAAGAGCACCATAAAGCTATCTTTCAGAAAAATCAGAAAAAAGGTTTGGATTTATCAAAGAAAATTCGGTCTTGTTCCTCAAAAATAAAAATATACAAATAAAATAAAATAAAACTTTAGATCCTTAAAGTTTAAGGATTCATCATCGCATAACGATTATTATTAATCGTTTACGAGTATCCTCTATTATCTGACAAATATAATACGCACGATCGTGTAATACGCTCATTATCATAATATCTAATACAATAATGAAAGACGTCTTTTTTTTCCTAACTCTTTGATCTCTTTATCATTTCCTATTTTTGTTTTCTCTCATTCATACGGCAGTTGCTGACAATCACCATCATCATCATCATCATCATCATCTCGCTTTTTCACCACAGCTACTGCTGTTGTTGCTGCTGCTTTTTTTACTATCGTATTAAAAATCGAATCGTTCATTTACGCGTAGGACAAATAAATCTCACGTAGGAAGTATGTTTAGAATTATTTTAAGTGCTAATTGGGTTAATCCTTTGAATAATCGTAAAAAAGTTACTAATCCAAAAAAAAAAAAAATGAAATAATCACGAACAACGTAAAATTCAACCCAACAATTCGCGAGCTATTTTATATTCATCGATATAACTTATCGATCATTCCAAAAAAAAAAAATACATTCGTAACTTTTTAACTCTGATTATGATGACAGAAATATTCTTGATATTCTTTTTTTTTATTTTTCCTTCTTATTCTTTTTGTTTTATTACGAGCGAGTGTTCATTTTTAAATTTCCCGCGGATTTTGTTCGATCACAAAATAGATAATTTCTTATATAAATATGAATGAATTTTCATAATTCTTTCTTTCTGTCTTTCTTTATCTTTTTTTTCTTTTTTTTTTTAATAACTCGTTCGATAACTTATGCAATTTCAAGTTCACAATTCGATGATACACAATCAACGCGAGAGTTTTTTTTTTTTGCATTGCCAAACGCTTAAAAGTTAACAATTATATAAATTACGTTTTATTTAAAGAATAAATTATCTATCGACAAGATCATTGTCTTGATTTATATATATATATATATCTTTTTCTCTTTTTCTTTTTCACAATAATCATTCGGAAAATGATCTTTCGATCGATCAAAACCTAATCATTTTTTTACACTTATTCTTTTATTTAATTATAAATATTAAACGTTTAATGCTATATCAAGTTCGGACGTAAATATAAGATCTATCGATTTTACTTGTATATAACTTTTATTATTTGATTACTCTTGCGCTTTTGTTATTGTTGTTATTGTTGTTGTTATCTTTTGATATCGATTAGATTCCTTTTCCCATTTTTACCATTCGTTTTGCTTTATTCTCATTTATTTCATTAACGATATACCGATTTTAAACAATAACGATGCTAAAGAGGAAAATGGAGGAAGCTGATAGGTTTTTAGGACGGAGATGAAAATACGCGATATTTAGGACGGTTTTGACAAAAGTTGCATACGATTGATAAAATTAACGGTAGGTAATTAAACAAGTATCGTATTACTCGTTCGTCAAATTAATTTTTACAATTTTTATTTTCTCGCATAAACAAAGAGAGAAAGAGAGAAAAAAAGAAGATAATATAAAGAAAGATGAAAAATAAATTAAAGGAAGCAAA